ATGTATATATCATGCAGAAGGAAGACTATCCGACCCCATAAAATATATATAATATTGATCAACATATTGAAGCTATTGAGCCAAGTCGATTTAGCTATGCTCGTCTTTCTCTTTACATTTTATTTGTCAAGTCGAAGCTTTAGTGTACTCAAATCAAAAGATTTGGTACGTACGTTCCTTTATAGTATGGACCAATCAGGAACATTTTACTTTTTGATTGGTCATTTCAATAAAAAAAAACATTTTTTAATTAGAATTTTCTCTTGCCGCTGGTTACAGGATATCCTAGTCGGCATTCTCAAATCTGCTAAGCATTACGATTTGTCTTGTATTTGTCATTGTTTTGTATAAAGGTTGCGTAAATTGATTTTAAGGATCGATACGTTTAAGAATAGCTAATTAAGGGAATTAATATATATTGTTTCTATCTATACATAATTATCTACAAATTCGCACAGATGGACATTTACGATTAATTTTTTTCCCAATTAATCTGATATATTCAGTTAGAAATAATGATTGATCTATTGACGAGGGTTTCTTCTCTTAGATTCGCTGTTTTTACATGCCCTTTTGCTCTGGAGAATTCATAACTGAGAACTTACCTGACGTCAGTAATGTTTAGAAATTGAGCAAATATTTTCATCTGCAAAAAAATAATCCTACCGGCAGCGGCCTCTGTTAATTATTTACTAAACGGCGTACATTTTGATTATATTCTCATGGATGGGGAAAATAATATTTAAATGTAATTTACTTGTTTCTCTCATTTTATAATAATGTATTTTACAATAAAAACGACAAAGCTACATTAAAGATTTCTTTAAGACAAATGCAGCATCTTGTACATCGCTTTTTCTTTTTTGCCGATACCGTGGCTGCATTGAAATTCGGGTATTATGTTCCTGGTTTTGTGCCAGTTCGGCTGCCGACTTTCCTTTTAGCCAAGGTCTTTTATCGTTATATGCTACGCTTGGGCGTCCCGTTACTTGCTTTCGCAGTTTGACCGTCATAATGGACGAGAGTGGACATAGTTCTGTTATCTAGCCAAACCTAGAGCAGGGTTGGATCACTGAAAACTAATTGGGCAAAAATTAAATAATTGGCACAATTTGACAGAAAGTTCGCTTTTAGTCCACTAGACATGGTCAAGTTTTTTCAAATTCGAATTAATTGTACTGGCACAATGTGTTAAAATAGCCCCGAGGCAGCCAAAAAAATATTTAATATATGGAGTCGCCAAAACCAGCACTAAAATAAATATATATTATGACGAAAATTTTTACTTTATGGCAAAATAATAGCCTCCGCGCCCACAGTGCAGTCGTTGTAAGTTGTTGTCTGCAAAGTTGCAGCCGCAAGCATCTGTAGCTGGCACAAGTCTTGGGACCCAAGCGAATGCTTTTCGAGCTTGAGCAAGATTCTGATTGCCGACAACTGTTGACATAAATCAAGTGGAACACACAATCTTCTACAGGTCAGAGAAGCTTCCTTCTGGATCTTACATACATTTACACAAAAACATTATAACCTTTTTATGCAATATTGAATTTGAGGCCCCTCGAATGTTAAGCAAAAAGTTGTTCTCACAATTTTCCGAAATAACGGATGGAAATTTTGCGAATTCAATTTTAACATGCACTTTATGCACATCGCCACTAGCCATACAACATATAGATGGGAGCTAGAACAAATGTTGGTAACCATTCATATTCTTTAGTTCTGGTCTCCTGTCAACTTCGTTTTTGTTCAGGTCCGAGAATCGCTCACTTGCTCAGAGAACAAGAGAGTAAGAAAGACAAATGCTTTGTGTGATAGAAAAGCAACCGAAATTTGTGCGCATTGTTGCTTATGTGGACACATACACACTCATTCGTTTAAACACTGAGTGTAATCCAATTTCCTGTAGTGCGAGTGGAATCAAAAACAGCGATGCCGTTCTATTACACAATGCATATGGCTTCGGTAGAATGTAGCAATCCTTTCGTTTTTCAACTACATTTGTATTCCAACTACATGTAATTTCTATCTCTATATATAAAACTGTTTGTCCTGACTGACTGACTGACTGACTGACTAACTGACTGACTGACTGACTGATTGACTGATTGGTGATCAACGCACAGCCCAAACCGTAAGAGCTTGGAAGCTGAAATTTTCACTGTAGTTACCTTATGTGATGTAGGTGCACGTTAAGACGGGGTTTCGGGAAATTCCACCCGCAAGTGTGGAAAAATCGCGAAAAACGTTTGTATGTAACTTTTTTGTTTACCATCCGATCGGCCTCAAATTTATTTTCAAAGGTCTTTGTTCAAATTCATTTGAGGGGTGTTTCGCACTTTTTGGAAAATGCATCCCTCCTTGGTGGAAATGGGGGTCAAAAGTTTGGTGGGTGACGTTTTGCCCTCAAATTTATTTCCAAGTATCTATATGAAAATTCATTTGAGACGTGTTTTTCACTTTTCGCAGAATTTAAACTTCTTCGGGGGGAATGCGATTCAAAGATTTTTTGGGCGAAGTTTTAAGTTGTGTCCGATTTGCTTCAAACTTATTTTCAAAGCTCTACATAAGAACTCAATAAATACGTATTTCAGCGATTTGGGAAATTCCACCCGCAAGAGTGGTAAATTGGCGGAAAACGGTTGTATGAAAGTTTTTTGTTAACGATCCGATCGGCCTCAAACTTATTTTTAAAGATCTTTGTTTAAATTCATTTGAGGGGTTTTTCACACTTTTCTAAAAATCCGTTCCTCCTTGGTGGAAATGGAGGTCAAAGATTTGGTGGATGACGTATTGTGTTCAAATTTATTTCCAAAGATCTATAAGAAAAATCATTTGAGACGTGTTTCACATTTTTCGCAAAATCTAAACTCCTTCGGTGGAAAATGCATTTCAAAGTTATTTTTGGTGAATTTTAAGTTTGTTTAATTCCCGTCCGATCAGTTTCAAAATCATTTTCAAAGCTTTTTAAAAACATTGATTTTATAACATACGTGCCACGGGCAAGGCCGGGTTATACCCGCTAGTAATCTATATACATACATAGAACAGTTTATCGTGATGACTTATTGGTGATTAACGCATAGTCCAAACAGCGAGAGCTAAGAAGCTGCGACGATTACCGTTTGTTATAACATAGAGGTGCATGTTAAGACGGTGTTTTGGTAAATGCTATTTGCAAGTGTGGCAGAATCCCAAAAACGGTTGCATAGAACTTTTGAGTTTTCATTCGATCGGCCTCAAACCCATTTTCTCGCCAAGTAAAAATCTCAACATAAGCATTTAATAAATACGTGTAACAGCGACTTTGGAAATACCTCCTGCAACTGTGAAAGTTAAGCGGAAAACAGTATGCAACTTTTTTGTTTACCAGCCGATCGGCTTTTAATTCATTTTTAAACATCTTTGTAAAATTTTTTTTGATACATGATAAATATGAATAGTTTGTGTGAACGAATGTTTATTTTTCAGCAGAAAGCATTGATTTCTTCAGATTTTTTTTTCTATGGACTGCAAAGTCGAAAATGGGTAAAACGGGTATAAAGTATTTGTGTAAATGTATGTAACAGGCAGAAGGAAGCGTCTTCGACCCCATAAAGCATATATATTCTTGATCAGCATCAACAGCCGAGTCGATCTAGCCATGTCCGTCTGTCTGCCCGTCCGTCCGTCTGTCCATATGTATGAACGCAAGGATCTCAGAACCTATAAGAGCTAGAGATTTGGAATTTTAGCTGTAGGTGCTCCTAGTCCCCGCGCAGATCGAGTTTGTTTCCGATATTTGATAACTTGCTCCGTTTCCAAGTAATCGATAAATCGATAAATTTTGGTAAATAATAAGAGCTTGGGTCACCAAACCTTATATGTAGCTTCTAGAATAGAATACATATATCAAGTATCTTTCATTTTAAACCTATCACCACCTCCCCGCTACCACCTCATAGCAATAAATCAAGTAAATAAACCAATTTACATATGCTGCCCATTAAAATAAGCCACAATTTAAATGCAATCGTCATTTTTAGAATACACAAATAGTTTGTAGTACAATAAGATCTACTGCTGATAATTTCATCGAGATCGGTTAAGAAACACGAAAGAAAATGTGTTTTGGTTGCCCTCGTGTTTACGGCAGCATGCGCAAATTGCAAGAATTTCTGTATAATTCTATTAAGAGGATTGAAATTGCGATTGCATTGTTTTCTGTGCTTATTTAATTCGTTTTTTTTCTCATTATAACTCGATTATTGGTGTGGCTGTTGAGTAAAGGTGTCGGAAAGTAGCGCTGTCAGTTACAAGTTCGAGGAAAATGTTTTTCTTTTCTTTTTTGGCTGGTGTGGCTGTTGAGTAGAGTCGGCAGCAAGTATTGCGGTCAGTTACGAGTTCAAACCCTGCCAAGGGAACTTTTTTTTTTTAATTTATTTTTATTACTACTAAAGCAAACGAGCTCGTAGCGCGAGCTGCATTTGGTGTTTGAATAAGAGGGTTCAGGGTATCTCCTAGACGGGAGCTCCCGACTAGAACCTCTTACTTGTTTTCAACTATCTATGTATAATTTCACTTTAGACGTGAAGTTCGGGCTGAAAAGGGAAAATCGAATTATCTATTTACTACAGGCCATTGGGCTCCGTTTTGTCTTGACTTGCAGACATAAAGTACATCAAGTTAAGCTAAATGGATTACCGAGTGCGCTTTCGTCGATGACTTATAACGCTGCTTCTGTATTTGGAGGCTTGTATAGCTATTATGCTGCGTCCCAAAAAGAAGAGGGTAGCTAGACACAGTTGCTGATCGTCAAAAACGTTGATTCAGCTTTGCTCGGCCAAGCGACGATAGAAAATACTACTTGGCCTACGATCGCTAGGAGTCACTGGCTAATTTTTTTATAATAATAACCGACAATGCCGAAAAGAATTAAGCTAAAAACTCCCTTCAAAGTAGTTTATTTAATACTATAAAATAAATTTATATCTAAAACAAACACTCTAAATGGCTATGATTCAACTTACAGAACATTATACATATCATATATATGTACATATACATATCCATATGTATACGGGAATATCCACGTTCTCTGTAGAAATATTGCCCGAGTGATCCAGCTATTATACAACTGAACAAAAAGGGTCTGTTTTTAGGTCTCACGCTTGAGTATTGTTGTTGTCATGTCTTAAGCCAAAATTCAATGTATTTATATGTATATATACAATCACTAAGTAATAATAATAATAACAACCGTTACATCTGTACATAGGCAATTCATTTAAAAAGCTAGGATCGTCAGACATTGCGCCGAATACAATTGGGCACTCAGCGCGTTTTGTGGAACGTCAGACCACCAAGTACTTTTGGCTAAGCTCAGCCCTTCAGACTTTTCAGCTTGTTTTTTTTCTCAACGCCCAAGCTGTTAGCAAACTGCTTGTCCGCTTCCTGTTTGTATTCTCTTAGATTGTAGTGAGTTGCCTGTAACAATGGAGGAGTATAAAGTGATCAAAAGAGGAAATTATAAGCAATTTATTATTTACATTGATGGCCTCTTTAAGCTCGGTCTGGGCCAGACGTTGTATACCGCGGAAGTTCCGGCCCAGAATACGGCCCAACTCATAGCGAGAAATACTGTAGCCCTCTGTAGTTGTTGTGGACTGATCACTGCTACTGTCTTCATCACTAGAATTCTGCAGAACAATAAAAACAACAGGAATTTTGATAAATAATTATATAATATTATATACCTACATATGTATGCATATATTTTCCCCAGAACTCATTGAAAACGGGCAATGGGGTAGAATTTTTTTGTGTGTATATGTACATATATAAGGCAGAAGGAAGCATTTACGAATTTATAAGGTATATACATTTGTTAATATATATTTTTACGCAGCATAAATAACCGAGTTGATCTAGTCATGTCTGTCTGTCTGTTTATCTCAGTTCGTTATCAGAACTGGTGACGAACAGGCGTGATTTCGAGGCAAGTTTTTGACATGTAGCTTTCGGAATAGTTTATGTATATATATCAAGTATCTTTCATTTTATAGCTATTACCACTTCTCCGCTACCACTTCATAGCCATAAATCAAGTAAATAAACTAATTTATATTGCTCACTAATTTAAGCCTCAATTTTAACGCAATTGTCTTTTGTCGAATACATGAATATTCAATAGCACAATAAGATATACATTTCATCAAGATCGGGTATAAAACAGAAAAGTTATTAAAGAAAACGTGTTTAGGCTGGCCTCGTGTTTGCGGCAGCTAGTGCAAATTGCAAAAATGCGCATGTGCACACACTTTTATACGCGTCTTTATTGAATTCTATTAACAACATTGCAATTGCGATTGTTTTGCTGCTATTTTAATTCGTTTTATTCTCTTTAAAAATTATTTGTTGGAATGGCGGTTGAGTAGAGAAGGTCGCAAGCAGTGTGGCATATAACGATTTCGAGTACTATTGGGGGAGCTGTTTTATTCTCTCCGAAATGTATTTTTATACCCTGAACCCATTAAAAATGTGTAAAAAGGGTATAATGTATTTGTGTAAATGTATGTAACAGGCAGAAGGAAGCATCTCCGACCTCATATAGCATATACATATATTCTTGATCAGCATCAATAGCCGAGTCGATCTAGCCATGTCCGTCTGTCCGTATGTATGAACGCAAGGATCTCAGAACCTATAAGAGCTAGAGACTTGAAATTTAAGCTGTAGGTCCTCCTAGTCCCCGCGCAGATCGAGTTTGTTTCTGATATTCGATAACTTGCCCCGTTTCCAAGTAATCGATAAAAATCGAAATCGTAATCCTGTTTTTTGAGCAATATCGGCAAATAATATGAGCTAGAGTCACCAAACTTGACATGTAGCTTCTAGAATAGTATATATATATCAAGTATTTTCATTTTATACCTGTCGGAAGAAGAGGGTTCAGGGTATCCCCTAGTCGGCAGCTCCCGACTAGAACCTCTTACTTAATATTACTGCTAATGCAAACGAGCTCGTAGCGTGAGCTGCATTTGGTGTTGGTAGAAGAGGGTTCAGAGTATCCCCTAGTCGGAAATTCCCGACTAGAGCCACTTGCTTTAAAAAACAAAGCATAAACCTGCTGGCGATGCCGCCATAAGAAAAAGCCCACTACGAGGGGGGAGGTCTGTGTGATTTCGTCAAAATACGAGTTGTCCCAGGCATCGGAATCGTCGTGAAATTGTGAATTAAGGTAGAGGAGCAAGCAGCGGATGAGGCAGACAACTTCCGGACATTGCCGTGTACTTCGCAGATGCCTTGGTTAATCGAGACCTAGTCCTTGGCCGTGCGCAGCAAGGTTGCTGGCAAGACTGCGAAGGGCGTGGTTGCCCAGGTAGTGAAGACAATAGGGTCTACCCTTATCGTGCGTGTTCATGAGGTGAAACCTCTGCGTGATTATGCAGCCGGTTGTCGAACGGAAGAAGATTGTAAAGTACTGAAGGTGGAATTGGAGGCGACTAAAAATGTTTTGGGACCGAAAGTCCTGATCCGGGGCGTTCACTCGCAGATATCTCCTGACAAGCTCATGGGTGATATATTTGAGATTAACGTCAATGGCTGATGTCGCGTAAGCCTTTAAAGATATTCGGATGTCGGCAGGGCCATGGTAAGTGGATAGTAGCGGAGCAGTAAATGCCAGCCTGCAGGGTGCTGGCCTTCGCAAACCCTATGGAATTTGGGTTTCCATTTAGGCTGAGAAGTTTTGACCTGGTAGCGGAATGTGACCATAATGAATGTAGGGCCAATGAAGACGATTGCCTTCACTGCGGCAGATGGGTCATCGCGAGGTTCAGTGCATTTCTGCACTAAACTGTCCCAAACTAGAAAATGTCTAGCACATTTTTATACCCTGAACCCATTGAAAATGGGTAAAAAGGGTATAATATATTTGTGCAAATGTAAGTAACAGGCAGAAGGAAGCATCTCCGACCCCATAAAGTATACATACATATTCTTGATCAGCACCGATAAGAGCTAGAGACTTGAAATTTTCGATCGAGTTTGTTTCCGATAATCGATAACTTGCCCCGTTTCCAAGTAATCGATAAAAACCGATAGAGCTAGAGTCACCAAACTTGACATGTAGCTTCTAGAATAGTATATATATATCAATTATCTTTCATTTTATAGCTATCGCCACCTCCCCGCTACCACCAAAAAGCTATAAATCATGTTAGTACTTGTATTGCCTATCTAATTAAGCCACAATTTAAATGCAATTGTCATTTTGAATTTGAATATTTTATAGTACAATAAGATATACTACTGAAAATTTTATCAAGATCGGTTAAGAAACACGAAAGAAAATGTGTTTTGGCCTGCAAGCACGTGCAGCAGCAAGCGCAAATTCCAAGAATTTCTGTATACATGTACACACACACATTCATGCGCGTCATCTTTGAATTCTATCAAGAGCATTGCAATTGCGATTGAATTGTTTTCTGTGCTGCTATTTCAATTCGCTTTTTTCTCTTGAAGACTCAATGATTGGTGTGGCTATTGAGTAAAGGCGGCGGAACCCTGCCGAGGAAACTGTTTTTCTTTTTTTTTTTGGCTGGTGTGGCTGTTGCGTAGAGGCGGCAGCAATTAATGCGGTAAGTTGCGAGCTCGAACCCTGGCAAGAGAACTTTTTTTTTTTTAATTTATTACTTCCAAAGCAAACGAGCGCGACGATGCCACCCTACACGACCGGCGGTTGAATGTAGGCTTGGGGACCGCACATTCCTCTTGAGCCGTACATTTTGTATTTGGATGAGATGCTACCAATGGTTAGTAGCGCACCAGTCATCCTTGTACTTGACGCGAATGTAGGCTTGGGGACCGCACATTCCTCTTGAGCCATACATTTTGTATTTGGATGAGATGCTACCAATGGTTAGTAGCGCACCAGTCATCCTTGTACTTGACGCGAATGCATCGTCCCCCATGTGGTTCAGTAACATATCCAGACAATTGCCTAGGTATTCGAACCATACATGGAGTGAGATGCTAGGCGAGTGGGCCATGTCCCAGGATGTTTGCGGGTCCGGTAGGTCAGAGTGACATTGATGTCACTCATACGAATGCGGCAGCAATGAGTGTGTATCCTTTAGATTCGTGCGTACTGGGTTGGATAGGTATGAGTAACCACAATCCGATTGAGATTGGTGTCACACTCCCTACCACCTTGATTGAGGGTGCTGGGGTAATCGTTGTCACACTTGTAGTGTGAATTGTTCTCTTCATGTGCTCATTGTTCACAAGCCAGCAACGCAAGTTCCGCTTAATGCATTTAATGAATGAAGTTTGGGCGTTACTGTCAGGTCAAACTACTGGTGGACGCATGAGATGAGCACTGCGGAAGCGTTTCCCAAGGATCAGAGATACCAATGCCGAGGGTGCAGCCCAACAGGTTCGAATATAGTCGGTGTATAAATGAAAACGGATGAGTAGCGATCTTTCATAAAGCGCAAAAGGGAACAGCACTGGGATTGTGCTTATACAATAGTTAGAGGTAGTGGCCGGGTAATTGTATGAATGTTTTGCTGAATGAGTTCTACCCCGGGGAGGATCGTCAGCACCAGGTATGTTAGTGACTCTGGTCAGTCCAGCATTAATACGTCAAGCGAATGGGTAAGTGTTGTGCGTTTGAGGATGACATATTTCTCTTGATCAAAGGTCGGTCGCGTATTGAGATTGAGACGAATGCGGGTACGTGTTTACGCACTGTATATGAGTGGGCGAAAGTGTTGGAGTCAGTCTGGTAATGGACATGACCGCGTCAATGCTGCTTAAGGGCTGATTGGCACCTAGTCGACCACCCACTGTCAGATTGAACGGTGAAAATGTGAGGTATGCGACTGAGGTGAAACACCTCGGCATAACTTTAAGCGGGAGGATGTGTTTCACTCCTTATATTGCTGGCCTTAAGGCCCGACTGTTTGGCTTGGTGGGGCAAGTACGCCGAATTTTGAGCAGTACCTGGGGCCTAAGCAGACGTGCTGTCCGCTCCATTCATGATGGTCTGTTTGTTGCTCGTGCAGCGTATGTATCGTCTGAGTGGTGTAATGCGGTTACGACTGTTGTTGTTGTTGCAGAAAGAAAGTGCTGGCTTGTCAAAGGATGAACTTGCTAGGCGGTTAGGACTTTGTCAATGCAAAAGATTGTTGAGTGAGTGGCTCTGCCTGACTGGAAAGTGGGAAACAAGAAAGAATGTTAGCCGACAGTCGGCCAGACTAAGGCAGTACATGTGTCGGGACCGGCCGGATAGAGCCACTTTATCAGACATCTTCCAAATGAATCAGTCGATTCAAAGTAGTATGAAAAACTGTTAGATTTATAAAGATATCTGGAGCACACTCATAGTTTCACTATGCTCCTTACATAACAATTTTCAATATCGGACCATATCATACAACTTTTGTCTGTATCAAGATATCTTGACCAAACCCAGCATTTCCATATGTTGCTTGAATATCAACCAATTGTTATAAGATCGCAATACTATATTATATAGCTTCTTAAGAAGAATCGTACAGAAAATTTTGTATGGCAGAATATTTTTTTTTGGCAATTAGGTGTCTACCGCGACATTTTAAAAGAGTTTTTTGCAATTTTGAAGGGATCGGGGTAAGGCAATATTGTATAATATATATTTTATAGCCTCTTTTTGCCTGAGAGATAGATACATTTACAGAAGAAATTATCTTACCAGCTTTTCCGTTGTTGGCCTTGGCTGACTTGTAGGTTTCGCAGGCGCCGGGTCTTTAAATTGCTCATTCACAGTATTGTAGATATCATTAAGAGTATTCCGAGTATCTGTGTATTGCTGCAAGACAATAAAATAAAATCAACAATGTCGTAGAATGTATATACAATATTAGCTTTATCATACTTACATCAACAATAAGGTTCTTTGTTATGACCATTTTCTGCAAGAAATCCCAAACGATGCCCCGTTTGCTGCGCATGTGCGGTACATTGTCTACATCTCCCAATGGATCACCATGACCTGAAGCGGTAGCAAGTCCCAGCATTAATATCCAACTACCCAATATCAGCAGCGTCAGTAAATGATTCGATTTTCTATTTTTCATTATCTTCTGCATTACATGAGAAACAAAAAAGAATACATTCTTCATAAATGTTATAGCTAGTATAATAAGAAACTGTTTAATGATGAGTGGTAACTGCATTCAATGAATACACATGGATTTGTTATGTAAGCATGTGAGTTTATGGAATCAGTGGACATTAGGCTAATTATCAATATCATTATTTTTGTTATGAGCATTATAACCATTCAAATTAAGTTTGATGCAAGCAGCAAAAATGTTGCCTCACAACATTACTAACTTAGTTAACCATAACTAACACAGCATCAAGCCACTTATATGTAGGAATGTGTCTGTGTATATCGATATTTGCACAGACTGCCTAACCGTCAATAGCCAACCTCAAGAATACCAATATTAACCAACGTCCATAAGAATTTTTTTATTATTCCGAAATAAAAGAGTCTTACTGATGTGGATTCCCAGGCACTGAAATATTCCCGTTAACAAATAAGCGGACCAAACAGCCAATGATGCAGATAAATTCACCCTCATTACAGAAACAAACTACAAATACAATACAACCTCAAACACATTGAGCTCAAAATATATGACTACTAAAACACAATTTGGTCCAACCTCTTATTCCATACAACATGTTGTATGTTTAGTGGTCTAACACACAACACGTCATAGCAATTAATTCCAACCAAAGACACACAAGGAGAATTTAACAACACCAAAAATCTCCTAGGACTTGACACTATTTAGCTATCTGAAGTTCGACTATCACTCACTTGCTAATTCTAGACCACTCAGTTTACAATAAGTCTAAAATAAGCCAAAAATTCTAACCACAATGATTCAGATATCTCAACTCTTTCCCACTGAACTATTCTTATGTAAAAACATACAACAGATAAAAGCATATAAAAATAAAATAATTTACATTCATACAAAGATTTTACTCAAAAAACAGGCAAGTCTGCTCTTATCGGGTGTGCCTGACTAGGATATATATATTAATGGGATCGGAGATGTTTCCTTCTGCCTGTTATACTCGCACAAAACAGTTATACCGTATTTAAATAGGTTCAGGCTATAGAAAATATTTATTATTGTAGCTCTTCGTGATTTATATTTATGTACGTTAAACATTTTCAAATAAATAAATATATAGTATATATGTATATTCAATACTGCAATTACCATAGTGATTGGCGTAAGGTAGGGACTGCGCAGTTAGCGGAGTAAATTCTTATACATGTGTATTTTTGTGCTAGATACAGGGAAAAATTGCCATATATGTATGTATGTACATTTGTGAGTAGCTGTATGTGTGTGCTTTTCGGTTATGTATTTCGCAATGCGGAATTCAATCAAAATCTTCCTAAAAATATGCCAAACATAGATACATAAATGCACATATATGCATACACGTAACCATAGACAGAAAGAGGCAGACCTAAGAAGTGAAAAGAACAGAAGTCGAGTGATCTTAGACTACCTGCAATGTATATGAAACTATTGCCACATTCACTCAAATATATGTATGCGTTTTTGTATGTGTTCCAATACGGCCATGACCAAAAAACAAAAAAAAAAAACAAAGAAAAAAAATAGAATAGGACTGCTGTTCCTGTTGCTGTTGGCGTTCCCGTTGCTGTTTCCGTTACTGGCAATCCTTTAGACTATCGTGATTGCTTTAATGCTACTTAAGTGCTTAACAGTTTGCCAGACGAGCGCTGCATCAGCCCCAACAACAACGACAACGAGGCATCGAAAGTAATACACATAAAACCAAAAACAAACAAGGCAAACGAAAAAACTACTTCAAGTGCAAACTTTTCCTTTTGGGCAGAGCACAACGAAACCAAACGAAATGAAATGAACATAGAAGAAACCCTCAGAAAGCTATACCGTAAAATGTATATAGCACATAGCATATCTAGTAAGTATATGAGTATTGATTTCTTTCTGCAGCAAAGAGCTGCCTGTATAAACAATTTTCTTTTTCGTTCTGTTATGTTTAAAAACTAAAAACAAAACTATGTATTTACATCAATATAACCGATTAAAACAAATATTAAATTAATATCTTCAATATAGTCGTTATCAAGAGATCTTGTTTAAAAAACAAAAATCAAATAGCTTTGCTATGAATAAGACTTAAGTGTTGCGGGTCTCCCGAAAAATCACGATTGTTGACAACCACAAGCCCTAAGCCAAGCTTTCATCTGACATCCAGTCTCGTTTGCACTACCACATCTGTCCCCATCTGCATTGGCATTGGCTTGCATTGGCAACTTTGTTGCTTTCGTCGTCTGTTGTCATTATCAGCGTCTTCGTCATTTGGTTAGTTTGCTTCAGCAAGTGTAGCCGCTGTGCAACTTGAGTATTTTAATTATACCCTAATGGCGCATAACAGCAACCTCTGCATCTGTCTCTATTTTCCTTTCTCTCTCTCGTTGGTGCTACATGCAGGCTGGGCAACGACGAGCGTCTCATTACGCCCCGAAGAACTTCATTGGCATTGGAATCCTTTCCTCTGTTGCTCCTCTGCCACTTTCTACAACTTTTGCTATTTTTCGAATATCTATTTGCTTGTCCATCTGTCCTTCTCACAGTTTGCAGGTAAATTTGCACTGGACTGCTGTTGGGCGCACCCTGTCTCGAAACAGCCTCTAACGTCTTCCGAAGAGTTTGGTATATTAAAGGGAATATTGGCCATGTCATTGTATATATATATATATATATATAGAATTTTATATACAAATACTTATATATCCATATATAATGTATATATTAATTGTATTTTGTTATCAATGTATAGTTTATACATATGTAGTCAGGCCTGTAAATCCCAACGAAATTGTCGTTTATTGTGTTTACGGATTGCATCGGCTTCCTGATTTGAGGTTCAGTTCATGAACCTCTCTTTCCACATCCAAAAACTTTCGTTTGTAATCTATTATCAAAATTTTAATGAAATAATTCAGTTAGTTTTCGATTTGCCCCAAAATTGGTATTTACCTCTTAAAAGTTCTTTATCTTCAATATAAATTTGGTTAGGTTTTGGCAATCGGTTTTGTTTTAACTTCGGTAAATAATAAAAAAAAAGAATCCCGATGTCGAACCGGTTCGATTCAAACGCGGTTTGCAGCCATGTATAGTATCATATATAAATAAATATATATGTATATATTACATTATTTGGTTAGTATGTATATATATGTATATTTTAATAAAACTTATCAAATAAATACTTTATATACTATATATATATACATACAATTAGGAACAGGAAAATATAATGCTTTACATTTGATTTTATTCATTGTCATAACGTCAAAATATTTGTCAAATCTCAAAAAAAGGCATCCAAGCTGCGCTGTATGCAGCACAGCTTTTTTGGTTTGCTTTTGCCGCGTTCTGCCGTTCGCTTACTTTTGTTACCAGTTTTTCGGCAATTCTCGTTGCATTTTTGTGCACGCTTTGATTATTTTATTGCCATCCCCCGTAACAGCCTGAACCGAGCATTGAAACAAACTTCATTTTGAAATTAAAACTTTTTGCCCAAACGGCAAACGGAAAAGCGACCAAGGCAATCGCATTCTTGATTTTGTTTTCCAACTGGCTCATCAACTGGCCAACAAAACTTTGTAATTATATCAATGAATAGCTGCTGCTGGTCAGACAACCGACGTCCGTAGGCGGGACTTCCGTGCGGGGACTTGTGTTATGTTTATTCCATCCCCCGGTAACGGGGCAATAGTCAAAAATTAATCAATTCTCGAAAGCTGCTAAAAATTTTTGCATTGCATTTCAATTAAATTTAATTTAATTTGATTGTGGCCATGACATCGAGCACTTTCAAGCTACCATATTCCCGGCGCGCTTGTCCTCGAACTGAGCTGGAAATGTCCAAGGATATTCACATACATCGCATTCACAATGTATGCCTTCCATAGCTTTATTTGTACTTGCAACAATAGTTCTGAACTGCCGTCAGTTCATGTAGCTAATGCTTTTAACACCTACACACACACACTCGCAGATAAGTAAATTCATACGCCAAGCGGAGTGTGGCACGAGTGGACAGGAGCCTGGTTAGAGTAAGATAGCGCACGACGGGACAGTTGCCTTGGCTTCTCGCTTCATTTTACATTTGCATGCTAAGTACCAATTAAACAAGAATTAAGACTGAGTTTAATGTTGACGATATGTTGCTACGCCAGCAGCGATTATGTTCCGTATTATAGTTTGAGTATACTCATGCATACATATGTGTAAGTATATTTATTTGGATGCATGTATTTACAGATATACATTCAGATATCCACTTCGATTAATATTGCATTAGACCGATTGTCTAAAGAAATGTCCCCACTTAAGCAGATCTAATAGGCATAAAGCAAAAAGGTTCTACAAAGTGCAAAAGGGTGTTTTGGGATTGTGAAATGTCTGCCCGTATGAGAGACATTTTTCGGCGTACTAAATTAGGGCTTGCAACTGGAAATATGTACGAACTCGCGTCAGACAATGTGGCTACGCCGACTGGGTTGGGGCACAGCGGAAAATCTATATTTTGTATGAGTGGAACCTGTCTAAGCATATTTGGAATGTTGAATTGTCTAAAGCATTAACACTTAGAGCTAAAGTTACGAAAATTGAAATCTCGCCTGAAAATATATTGCCTACGACCCCCCCGGGAGCCTAGAAAATCTGGAAATACGAAACAACAACAAATTTGGCGAGTATCCTGTATATTTTATTGTCAACGAATTACTTAATATATTTTTTTTTGCGATTATCGATAACCCCCTCCATTTCCCCACCATTTGATAGCTACCTTAAACTAAGTGAAATTATACTTTTTAGTGAAGGACTAAATGCCAAAACTACCACTACCAACTCCTCTACGGCCCAAGGCTATATAATCAAGGAAATGCAAGAGGACACATGGTAGGTAGCATCTTTAATCCTAAAGGCAAGGCCCCAAATGGCACGAAGGCTACATATGATTTTCTTATAAAACGGTCCCCAAC